TATATATCGTATAAAATATTGGTATAATAACAATAAAAATTATATATATTTAATATAAACCGCCATTTATACGTGATAAATGCATGGACATAATTTCAACAATCTCATATTTTTTTTGTATTTATATATACATATATATTATTTATATATATATTTTCTTAAAAATATAAATATGGGTATATATATATTATATATTTCATTATATATTGTAAGAATTTTTTGTGTAGATATGTGTATTTTCCTTATATAAGACATTATCCATATAAAAATAATATTGTTATATATCCTATATATACACAGGGGCATTTATATTTTATTTATTATATAAATCAATTTCTTTGGGATTAAATGTGTATAAATATATAAATTTCCAATATATACAGGCATTTTGCTGGAATATATGAAATATTTCTATGAATATCAGAAAATACTTACGAATATATAAGATATAATATTATTTAGGATGTTATAGACTATTGGTTTTCTCTTTTTATAAAAAGCAATTCATATATTCTGTTCATTTATGAATTAGTATAAATAAATTTTGATTGTTTGAAATATTTATGATAATCACAGTAAAATTTGATGTTTATATTTAAACATTATAAAATATATATACATATGATAAACCTATGGTCATTTTAGCACAAACCACAATTTAATCTTATTAAGATATATTTGAAAGTGTTTAACAATTCATTTTTGTGTGTGTATTTATATAAAGATATATATATACACATGGGGGATTTCTATAGATATATATATTTACGTGTGTTTGTATATATATTTATATTTCAGCCAATGTTTATATATAAATTTATATAATGAATGGTCATTTATATATAATATATGTCATACCTGATAACCTCTTCCAGTGTATATACATATATATATATATATATATATGTGTGTATGTATAGTCGGTGTGTCAGTGTATTTTATTTTTATTTATATACAATTTGTTATAATCAATATCTGTGTATTTTGTTATACATTGGAAAAATGTATAGTGCCTTCATCTAGCAAATATCTTACCGATTATATGAAAGGGATTTCTGTACCGCAGCATATATGCGCGTGTATATATATATATATATATGTATGTATGTATGTATGTATGTATGTATTCACACAAACGCAAAAAATAGTTTTGCATATTTTGAGGTCACGTTCTGCACACTAAGAAAAGTCCATATAAACATCTATGCAAATCCGTTGTTTTTGAGTTAAGTTTAAAGAATATTTACGGTAGTTCGCGCTTGTGTTGCCATGAAGCGTAGGTTGCATTTGTCATTCGTTTACATTTCTGGCTAGTCTATCTTCAACTTTTAACGAGTATGGTAGTGGATTAACGGAAAAAGTGTTCCATTTAACAATGGCAGGATATTTATATTGTGACAGGCATATAGGATTTTTACATGCGGCAATGGTAAATGCGTATGTAAAAGCAAGTTCTGTGGGTATCAAATTCTCCAAGCCCTCTTTCCTCATTAGGCGCCCGAGAAATTTCATCTATCTCTTTCTGATGCTACCTATAATTTTTTTTTTTTTTACTTCCATCTTCTCTAAAACTTTGTCATTGTTCACATATTCGGTTCATGCTATTCTCAGCATCCTTCTGTAGAACCATAATCTGTTGCTTTAAATCTCTTCATCTGTGAGGAGATTGTCCAGCATTTACGCGTAAATGGTAACAAAACAGTGTTTAGGAAATATAGCAAAAAGATGAAATTTACTAAGAGCGAAAAAGCATAGGAAATTGTGGAGAGGCATGATCGACAATGTCCCGAAGGACACGACACATAGAAGAATATATTTAAGCATAACTCGCTCAACCTATATTTTTTCAGATTTAATTCCATGTGGTATTCTCGTGTTTATCAAATTGCAACTGTCATCTTAAAATTAATTTTAAATAGTATTATCGCTCAATTTAAATTATTATGTTCCTGTATTTATACACAGGGAGTAATGGATAGAGGCTCGGATTGAGGAATCGGAGAGCAGAGTTCGAATTCCAATCCAATAGATTCACTTACGTGCTAATACCCTTGGGAAACACATGAATTCTCTTCTCCACCCACCTACGGGTAAATTGCAGGACGAACTGGTTTCTATAGCCTTGGATGGCAACTGGTCTACCACAGAAATAAATGGCAAGCTATTGCGGAGAACAATCTCCCTTGTCAGTCATATATCGAAAGGTACATGATCGCCTAAGCATGATACATAACTGACTGACCCATTTCCCCCCCGCCAAAAAAAATGAAGGGAATCTTATTTTTAAGTGCCAAATAAAAACATGAATTTTGCGATAAAAGTAATTTACAAATGAAAAATGTTGATTTTTTTTTATGTAATACAAATCCACTTACCTAGGTAAAGTTCAGCATAATCCTTCATGCATCCGACCGAATATTCGATGTCAGAGTCTCGTACATCAAGATATAATTTCCCAGATCGACTCCCAGACTTTATTAACCAGGAACAAGAAAGATGGCTTTAAGAGAGAATGTGAGAGAAAAAAATTTTTTTTAAATTTGAAGAAAAAGAAAAAAAATCAAATTCATTAAAACAAAATCTTTTTTTTAAATTCAACAAAAAATACTTATTAAATTAATCTTCTTTAATTAAAGAAACATCTTAAATTCCAGAAAGAAACCTTAAATTCAATAAAAAAATAAATAAAAAATATTTTTAAAAAAAAAAAAACCAAGGAAAAAAGTTTGAAATAACAAAAACATCACTTAAAAATATCACAAATGTAAAAAACCAGTGTAACCCGGATATAAGAGACCCAGATATAAGAGAGATTTTATCTGGTCCCAAATTAGAGCCTGTGTTAATGTATATAAAATAGACCAAACCCGGATATAAGAGACTTCATCTCCTGTCCCGACAACTCTTATATCCGAGTTACACTGTAAAATATATAAAATAATCTCTTGCTACCGAAGCGAAAGAGCCCTCTCTATCCGATTATTGATGCTATAAGTGATAGCATCCTATAGAAGAGACAAATTGTGCGTAAATGAAATAGTCTCGGTCGGAAGTTTCAACTCCGATTACAGCTATAATACACACATCCTTTTAAACAAATTATTTAATTAAAAAATCTATGTGTATAATCTAATTCGTTAAATAAAATTAATACATGACAAATAAAATGGCCTTCGATTTGAAAGTTGTTCATTCTCGTGTCAATTTTTACGATTATTTACTCAGCCTATTTTTGTCTCACACAGTGATTCCAAAACCGCTTACTGTTTACCCTTCTCTCTGGTTATCGGAGCACATCTATAGCGCCCATCTCAACCCAACATCAAAATAATTCTTTCTTTGTAATAGATATCCTGCAAATTCAAAATATCGAACAATGTAAGTACGCATGCGTATTTCGGTTTTTCTTAGATAAAATTGAATAAGATGTGGAACATCCATAACTAGACCGCTAGATTTAAAACTAACGTCTTCCGTAAACGTAAGTAAATCAGATTTTGTTAAAAAAAAAAAAAAAAAAATCAACTTGTTTCTAATGTCACACAGCCGCCCCTACAATTCGCGTTTCTAACTAGCTTCTCACCACCACCTCCAGAGGTTAGTATGGTCTACCTTGAGAATCGAATCGTTAAAGATACCGGAACAAGGAACGTGGTATTTATACTGAGAATGTTATCAGAAAGAGCAATACAAATGCAGAAAAACGCGTATCTGTGTTTTATCATCTACGTAAAGGCGTTTGACAAAGTACGCCACAAAGATCTGTTAGAGCTGCTCATCAACATTGACATATTCAGGTAAGACATCGGAATAATCAAAAATCTCTACTGGCAGCAAAACTGCCTGCATGCGGATAAAAATGGTGTTCATCAGATATGAAAAAATAGAAATAGGGGTAATGGAAAGGAATTGTCTTCACACTGAACTTATTCAACCGATATAACGAGGCAATTCTGAGAGAATTGGAAATCCTACCAGGATTCATCATTGGCGGTCACAATCTTAATGACGCTGTGTCAACACGGTGTCAGCTTGCATATATATTGTTAAGATGGTTGACCCCGATAAAACTTCCGTGTAGTTCCAATTCTCTCAGAATTGTCTTGTTGAGTACGTTGAATAGATTCACTTGTCTTACATCCCTTTATAGTTTTGTATATTTTGAAGCTTCAGAACCTATTAATATTAGCTTGTCATACATGAAATAAGGCACTTCATAGGAAATTAATAAAACGCTTCTGAAATGTCAAATAACTAATTTATTAGGTTGTCACATATGAAATGACATACTTTATAGGAAGTGAAATATACATCTATTTATCAATGAATGTTCTCCGAAGCACCTCTAAATTCTTGATCCCATTTCTAAATAAATTCTCATCTTTTGATGTGATAAATAGTTCAAATGCTTCGCATATTTCTTTCTTATTTGAGATTGTTTTATTGCATACGAAAAGCTCAAAATAATTAAATAAATGATAATCAGTAGGAGAGATATCAGGTGAATATGGAGGAGGAGGAGGCAAAATTTAATAATTTAGGTTATGCCACTTGTAAACAGTTTATTGAAAAGTGTGCGACCGTACGTTGTCGTGCAACAAAATTGGACCGTCCCTATTCTTGACCATAGTTTTGAAGATTCACTTACAACTAACCATTGGCCTACTATCTTACTGTTGTCAAAGAGTAAACATTTCTCATTGTAAAAATGGTTCTTTTTTCCTCGGTTTGTGCTCATACAGAATAATTACTTGTCATTGTTTCATTGTAGTCATTTTCATTGGGCTTCTGAATAACGATATATTTAAAGAAAAATTATTTGGAAAGAAAAAGAATCAGGAATAAGTCAAGATTTTTTTTTATATTCTAAGGTGGTTACTTCGTTGGACGACCGGATTAACAACAAACTAAAAATGAGTCATTTCACGTGCCAACCTCATGCAAATACAGAAATGTTTTAAAAAGATTTCCGAAGCGAAAACGAGGTTAACTTACGCTCAAAGCAAAATGCATGATTCAGTCGCGCATTACTTTTATTTCGTCATGCTGTCAGATTACATTCTCTCAGCTTGTAAGTATGCAGGTTATTTAATCTTTAGAAATTTTACAAACTTCAAAGTTGCCTAATTACATACAATTCTAGAGAAATAAATATTTGACTGAATTCCGAAATTCAAAACTTCATACAATAATTACGTTAAGTAAAGAACACGAATTTGAATAAACAGTCAAAATTTAAAATTTACTTAATAAAAAATGTACATTTTATACGTTAAAAAGAAAAAAAATTAGTCTTGAGTAGAAAACCGAAATAAATCTTGCAATTAATAAAAAAATATATAAAAAAAAAAGTCATTTAACATTAAATTTAATTTTGATAATTTTTAAATTGCTGCTAATATAGGAATACGTTTGGTATCTCAAAATTAAGTAGTACATGTTTCGCAGCATAAAAGGACTAAATATTTAATCATGAAACAATATTGAATGTCTCGATGAATGTTCTCAGCAAGCTGCAGCAAAAACAGAATAATTTAAAAGCCTACAGATGAGCCAGTGAAGGCGTCTTGACAACGCAGTGACGTTCTATGCGTTAATGGTAAAAGTATCGCTAAGTGAAAGAAAAAAAAAAAAAAAAAAAAAAGTATCACAACAAAACGGCTTTGAGTCTGGTTTCTTTAATGCGTTGCCTCTGAATCCATATTCCTCTGACGTCAGTTTAAACTTAACACCTTTGTATACCATCCCGAAAATATTTGTCTATATCTCCGAGATGAGGTATTATAGTTATTTATATTGTTCAAAGACATATAGCACAGTGAATAAAAGCGTAGGTTGGATCCAGTGACCTGAGTTGTGAGTTCAATACCTGGTTACGGCAGTGGTGAACAAAATCTTGGTGTGTTGAGTTAAAGGGAGATAACTGAGACATCAGGAAGAGGCATAGCACATTGAACAAGAGCAGTCTGCCCCATTGAACGAAAGAAAGGGTTCAGTTCGAAATTACAATCACCTGAAGAAAGCCGAAACGTCGTGAACATGACAAAGATCACCCCGAAAATATTGGGACTATTTTACTTAAAGTTCGATGTACCACGTCTCTTTAGGACGTTGTTGTTCATGGTTCTGCACAATTTCCTGTCCTTTATAGCTCTTAATAAATGCTTTTTTGTTATCTCTCCTAAAGACTATTCTGTCATTCATCTACTCAAGATCCCTAGTTAGTTTTTCATCTGTTTTCTTGAAGTATCAAATTTCGTCATTACACGTCCCAGAAATTTAAACCGTCTCTTTCTGATGTTAAGTGTAAGTGTCCTTTTTGTTTCAATTTCTTTTAAAATTTCATCGTTCCTCACATGTTCAGTCCATGGTATTCTAAGCATTCTTTTGGAGAAGCACATTTCTGCAGCCTCAAGTCTGTGAGCAGATTGCCCAGCATTCGCCAATATATAGAAGGACTAATAATGCATAACATTTCATTTCTTTGTTTCTAATGATATTTATTGATTAGACAGAAAAAAAAGGCCTCAGCTTAAAGTGACTCCAGGAGGAAAATTATTTTCATTATATATATATATATATATATATATATATATATATATATATATATATATAAACAAAGGAAAGCTCAATGCATCATTAATGACTTCGTAATAATTTATTTCAGACAGACAATTGCCTCCTCAAACCGGAGTCATAAAAGGGTTTAAATCATCCAGACAGTTTATTAAAAATTACAAGAGACAATGAATAAAACAAGAGATGTTGAAGAAATAAGAGGAAGTAGGGATCTTTTAATTCATTGCCTCTTGTAATTTTTAATAATTTGTCCGGATGATTTAAACCATTTTCTAACTCCGGTCTGATGAGGCAGTTGTCTGTCTGGAATAAATTAATATTGACCTCTTTAATGATGTATTGAGTTTTTCCTTTGATGGACATCATATTGCACTTCATCTTGATACACTGAGCTCTCTCCATGGATGTATCTTAATATTTTACATTAAAAAGATCTATTTGGATTATCATTATATATATATATATATATATATATATATATATATATATGAGCGATAAAGTTTGTTCTAAATGAGATTTCTTCACTATTTAATAATTTTGCTTGTACTTAGTTAGCACGGCCGTTACGCTCTGCCAATATCTCATAATTGATGGACTATTCCATTTTGATCACGTTGAAAGATGATAAAGACATATGCCATTTATAGCCTTGTGCCCGACTTAAATTCAGTAACCAGTAAAAACTGTATTTCATTCAATGTTTTCGCAACATTTGTTCCTTTTACTCTCAACGTTGTTCCGACGCACGGATCTAATTTGAAAAGAAAAATAATATGATATATCCACGCATGCGCATTGGAAGAAAGTCGATTACCTACATCAACTGATTTGCCCCGATTGATCTAAGCCTGCTCAAATTGCTTGCTTTTTTTTTCTTTTCGCTGCATAATAAAATAAAAACAAAAACAAAACTTTCTTCTC